CTACATTTGAGTGGACTAAACTAACACATTGGGTTTTACAGTGCAATAATTTGCTCAAACCTCAGTGGGCAGGGAGCCAAGGATAAGGGTAGTAAATGAATACACAGTCTGACATGTTGGACACAAATATTTTCACTTGCTTGGCAAGTTAATAGCAGTGGGGTAATATCCAGACATGGAGGGTGATTTATTGAGAGAGAGTAGAGTTTGTGAGGGAACATGAGGCCACAAGATACTTCCTCTGCTCTTTCACCTTAGTGCTCCTGACATACACACACGTACAGAGAGAGATAGAGAGACTGACATCGGTAATAAGGATGTCATGGAGTTTTTTTTACACTTTTCAGTTAGTAAAAACAACTGGAATACAGCAAGCTTTTAAAACTCCCGGGGTTGCCTGCTCAGGGGCCAATACAGTGTGTGTGAGTGGCAGGGCCCCTATTGAGGGGGAAGTAAGGGGTGAAATCAGCGACAATACAAACGGGCCACAGTGCTGTGGTGCTGTTGATGTTGGCTGCGTACCGTCGAGAATTCCTCGGCGGCGGTGGGGACTTGTCTCTGATCTGCAGAAGATACAGACGAGCAAGCAAAGGGAGAGTTTGTTTTCTGCATGGATGTATTAGAAAAAAGGGTACCAAGTTTGAGTGAGGTCACCATACCACCAAAAGTATGTTATAACAAAATTTAAAATGAACACAAAATATAACATTTTAAAGTTTTATGTCGCTCCCCTGTTGCCAAAATAAAAAAACATCTCACTCCCCAGTGTTTAAAAAATGATTTGACTCTCTCGTTTTGAGCAACCCTCCCCTCTCATAAATAACAACAGTCCCCTAAAAGATTTTAAAGGGGTTTCACAAAGGTAATTGAATACATAGATGCAACAAAACCAATGGTGGAAAGTAACTAAGCACACCTACTCAAGTGTTATAGTATAGCATGCCACCATTTCAGAGGGAAATATTGCACTGTTTACTCTACTACATTTGTCTAACAGCTGACAGATTCAGATTTTAAGTGTCTAGGCCTTCTAGTTCTGCAGCAATATGCCCCTGTTACTGACATTAATATATCAGCTATGACATTATTAGATTGTGAATGTGTAAGTAAGCACTTATTTGAGTAGATTTTGCTGACAATATCCTACTTTAAGTAAATATTTGAATGCAGGAGTTTGAAGGAACTACTTCTTCCGCTTTAGGGTATGGGCCGGGAGATATTTTCAGGCATAGTTTGAAACCATTTGTCCAAGACATGGGATGGAGTTCTGTAGCGTTCAGCACATCTTTTTAATCATTTTCTAGAGGAATGTATTTAATAATTTCGAGTCAACTCACTGTTTTTGCCGTTTTACAGTCGAGCTGTTGTTGTTCCGTAACGCAGCAGCCTTCAGAAAGTGAAAACCTTCACAGCTTTCACTTTCACTTATTAACATCCAATTTGAAATGACGCACTGTTTGTGCATTCCCATAATCTGACCAGCAGGTGTCAGTATTGCAACATTATTGTACATTTTGTTACTCATATTGGGCCTATAGTGGCCCTATATATTTAACATATGGAGTATAATATCAAATGAAACTAAAAGTAGCTTTTTTAAATATGCAATTCAGAAATGGAAGGTTTATAATATACCAGATTTTTGGAGTGTCTTTTTAATTCAAACATAATGTGTTGCGGCACTCGCCTCATTTCATTAACCTATACTAAAAAAAGGAGGCAATCTGATGGATAACAAATAAGGTTTCTGACTGTAATGTGCTCAGGATTATTATACTGTATGTGGGAGGGTCATATACTACTTATAGCAGCTCTTTACCTCTGAGATTGTTACATAAAGTCAGTCTTCATTTCAACCACAGATGCTAAATGTACTGGTTTATAGTTTTCATCTATCTGTTCATACTGTCAGCATCTCAACTTCCAGACTGGACTGACTGAGTTTAGGGAATCTGGGTAGTCTACATTCATGTTATAACACTGCATTAATTGACATTCTGACACACAAACGTTGACTGTGATTGCATGAGTGTCACTAAACAAAACAACTCAGTGTGTGTACTGTTTCACAGAGGGGTGTAAACTGTATCCGTAGGAGTGATTCCTCATCCATCTGTAATGCAAGGTTGTCTGGATCATCTGTATCCGTACATGGTGTCTGATCAGAGTCAGGATGAGCTGACGTTTCCCCCTCAGGCTTCTCCTGCCTGTGACAAATGAGCAGTGCTGCTGATGGAGTGGTCAGTGGGCACGCGATGGCCTTTATTCACTGATCTCCAAAAGGGGAGCAACAGTATTAAGAAAAACACACAGCTTTCACAGACACATGGTTTGTTTTTCCATAAATCGTACATCTTGTCCTGTCACATCAGGAGTCCTTGGAGCTTACAGGAATCTCAGAAACACCCCTGGGTGCAAACTTATGCTAAAACCAACCTTCTAAATAAATACCTTCCTAAATAAATCTCAACATGCAGGAAACAATCTATGTTATCTTTATTTTCTCCACAGAGGACATGTGTCTTTTCTTATGATTTTCCTGTTTAAGATGACATTGAAAAAATTTGTCCCACACTGTCATAATATATCAGTCTAAACACGGTATTCTGCAATGACCTAAAACAAGACATGTGTTCTGTAAATTAAACTAAGGGTAAACCGGTTTTAGGTATCAGCATCCTTGATAAAAACCAAGCGGCAGGAACAAGCCGCACAGTCAGCAGAGGTGATTATAACATTTAATCACTGGGCCCTATCGCCAGACTTTGCAGGCTTCTCGCCCCAAGGTTTGATTTACCCGCCCTCTTCCTGAGGAAAAATCTCATTCACTAGACGGATTGCTGAGCAGGCCTCTCCGACCAGCCCCTATAAATCATTCTTTAATCAGAGGCCTCTGAGATTGGGTGCAGACACCCGCGGGAGCACCACTGTGACACCTCAACTCCTCCCAGTGCGTCTCTGCAGTCCTGTGAGTTTTTATCCTCTTCTGTTTCCTCCTTGGGCTTGTCTGCATTTGTATCAGTCATCAGGAAACTAAGAGCGATGACCCGCCCTGCGCTCTCCATTCACACCAACACTTCGACACTTCTTGGAAGGGAGTGATGCCAAAGAAGACCAGGGACAAAGATTACTGGTTTGAGACTGCAGGAGGATGCAGGGTCAAGGCTGGATTACTAACTGGGCAACATCTCCAGGGACCCAGAACAACTGGGAGCCCAACAGTCCCATAGTGGTAACAACTGGTTTGTGGTAGTTCAAGTAAGATGTGTTTGGGAATACACACCACTGAAGCTCAGTATCAGTTGTCACGATAAGGAGGGTCCTGTGTTCTTCTATCAAGTCATGAGAGGGAATCCAGTGAAACTAATACTTAGTTGTTGTAACAGTTATAAAGTAGAATACAAACACAACTGCATATAAATGTATTACTGCAGTTTAAAGTATCAGTGCAGTAACTCACATACTGACCCAAATTTGATAATACTGAAGATGATGCTATGAATTATGGCTGCAACTAAAAAGTATTTAATCTGATGATTGATTTTCTTGAGAAATCAATTTTATTTGGATGATAAAATGTAAGAAAAAAGTGGAAAAAAAAATTAAAAAACCCAAAGCAGTTTACTTTTACCAAAGAAGAGATACAGAACCAGTGAATTGTCATTAAGTATCTTTTAATCAATTATCAAAATAGTTGCCAATTATTTCGTTATTCAATAGTTGATTAATCGATTGTTTTAGCTGTAGTGAGTATTAACAATGACTCAATTTGTAGTTACTGGAGTATCAAAATTGCTATTCTGACATTCAAAACTTACTTTTGAACCCCTTGAAACACAATTGAGAAATTAATATCAACACAAGGTCTTTTAATATAGCTATTCTGGAGCTTTTGATCACATCACATAATCTTCATTTCCAGCAAGAGGTTGGCCCTAGTTATTCATTGAATTATATTATGATCAAAATTTTAAGAACTAAATAAATTATATTTTGTTCTTGAATTTATAATGTACAAATGTATTTTAAGGGCTGGTTTTAAGCACTGAGTAATACAGACTTATCTGGCAGCTAGATGGTATAGTTATATAAGTTAATACTGGAAATGGACAAACCATGAAGTTTGATAATTTTAAGTTTTAAGTTTAACATCCATAAACTTGCATAAACAGATAAGAGACAGAATATATGCCCAAGAAAGTAAGACAAAAGCTGAAAACACTGGATAACTCAGCTTTACTCTGGATGGAGGGTGGGGGTACTGGAAGTATTAAATCATAAACGTGTATGGGTGTGTTTCATCCTGAAGTTGGTGAAACAACCCTCAGATGAAACTGTGACTGTTTTGATCATTTGGTGTCGCTTCATCCCTGCCACCTACATCAGCCCCATGCAAACTCATTCAGATTCTATACTGAATCTCATCTTGCTGGGAAAATGTTCACATATGGGGACGCATTCATTATACTGAGCTTGAATGTTTACTATGCAGCATTTGTGCCAACAGCAAAAAAAGGAGAAACCAGCATGATGGGAAGTGAGTAAAGTCAGACGAGTCAGAGGAGAGGTCTGAATACTTTTTTTTTTTT